ATTTTTGGATTTAGGGAAAAACGTGTTGTAAATAATAAGCCCCCTTTTGGAAAAATGTTTACCCCCGGGGGCGTTTAATAGGAAATTTTACATTACAGGGCAAGCATAAATATATATATAATATATAGATAAAATTATAATGTTTAAGAAATAACAAACTCTATGTAAATTCTCTCTATATATATAATACAATATGGGGAAATGTTTGAATTAATTTTCAAAAGTGCCACAAAACTTTTATTGGAATTGAAAATTTTTAATGTTCAGCCCAGTCAAGATTATATAGATTATTTTTAGCATTTTTTCCCCCCTGATTACCCCAAAGGTCAGGTGAAAGGATGGTAAAATATTTCCAAAATTAAAATTTGTATCAGGGACTCTTTTACAAAAAAAGGGGGACTGCTTGACCAAATGGACTTGTCTTTAAAAAAATTTTATTGGTTTTACTTTTTATAGTGTTTTCCAAAATTTTCAACTTAAACAATTTCAAAATTTTTCTTAAAAAATGCAAAATTATTTAAACCCCCAAACCCGTCCCTTAAACCCCCCCTTGGGATTTTGAATGGTTGTAAGAAAATTAAAACCATTGGGGCTTTTCTAGGTGCATAAAAATGGGGTCTATGCATCCCCTTACTCCAGAGTTCTAGGCCCCGGGCGTTATATTCTGGGCCTTTACGGGGTTTGCACATTTTTTATTTTTTATATTGAAATCCCTTAAATTTACAATAAACTGTTCCAAATTCAAGATGGGCCAGTCCATTAATATTAAATAAAATTCAGCAGGCTAAAGGGGGTTAACAAGGGGAAATTATTGTTGTAGTGTTATTTTTTACTTAAATGGTTAGTCCTTGATCTCTTCCTGTTTGTTTTGTTTTTTTTTAAATAAAAAATAAACAAAAAAACTACAAATTGTAACCGATATATATCTGTTTACTTTTAGCAGTTGTTGTTGTTAAATGTGCGTGTGTTATTTTCTCTCAGCTTATTCATTCAAAAATTTTAAACACTGGGGAATGTTGAAGAGATTGGATGTCTGTTTGACATTATAACATAGTTGGTATTCACATGGGCTGCACAGGAAATGACAGCCTAATTCTATCATCTGGTTTATATAATGTTGTGTCTGAATGGTTTACTGATTGTAGTCTACAGTAGTCTGTGCTACTTTGTCATTTACTGGAACCAGTCTGCTTGTCGAAAAAAACATTTTGATACAGGATAATTTATTGGTGAAAACATTTTAGAGAACTTAAATATTGTGAAATAACAACAAAAAAATTGTGTGACAAATGAAATAAATTAAAGAAATATTTCGGCTGTTATTGTACAGTTACTGGAGAATTTATTATTCTAAAGCTGAATGGTTTTTGAAAAATTGAATATATTATGTAGTTTTTATTGAATATATTATATAGCATATTTTGATAGACATAATATTAGTATATAAACATGAAGTTTAGGAAGATAAAAGTAAAAAGAAAGGAGGGTTCAGTTTTAAAAGATGAGAATATGTTACTCTTGTCTTAATTTCCCTCGGCATTTTGAACTTTTCTGTTATGTTAGGGTAGCCTAGGGAAAACCAAATTTTCTCACATGGTAGGTCAAAAGGCTAGAGAATAGAGAGTTTATTTCTCCTTGACCTGGACTTGCTGAAATACTATCCCTGGGAATTAATTTGATGTGAACAAAACTGTCCACTCTTTTCATTGGACAATACAAATGGAATCCTGCTTTTGATTGGTCCAGATTGCTCCAAAATGAGGAAATCCCCCCACCTTTGGGAGTAACAAGGATGTTGAACATCAGCCCAAGACCTGATAAATTACATAAAAATTAATTAGAGTATTTGTTCTGGAGTACAGGTTGTAATATGGGAGGAAACAGAAACAACAGGTGCCAATGCTTTCAGTGGATTTTTATTTAGTAATTTATGTCGAGAGGTCTTGATCGGAGAATTTTTTTTTTTTTTTGATTCATAAAAAGTACTGAAGGGTTTTTAAGTGGATTGTTTTATAGCTATTATTCAGCCAATGTGAAGAGAGGAGATTGTACTTGTGTTAAGAAATGAACAAGATACGGACATTAAGGACAGGGCAATTATCTTTAATTCAAACGGGGATTATTTTGAAGGAAATACTTTGAGGAAGCTATTGTATTGACAAAATGTGATTAAGAATGAGCAAAGCTGTAAAATTCCCAACATTTCTAAAAAACAAAAGTTGCAAAAGTTCAAAATACAATACATTACAAAAGGAATTAAAGAACAGTTCAGTATTTGTTTCATTATTTTCAGTGATTTTGTGGTGATGGATTTTTTTATTTTTTTGCAAATCTTAAGTTTTGTAAAGGCAGAAATTTTGATATTTATCAAACTGTGCATATATTATTGATAAACCGCATAAATAAGAATTAATAATTTATCATCAATAAGAAAATATTTTGTGAGAGAAATAAATGAATGATTTAAAGAACAGTTACAAAGTAATTCTGTTACCACAGCAGTGTCACAAAAGAAGCATGTGGCTGGTGGTATTTTTCATAACAGTGTATATCCAACAATTAGCACGGTAATGGTGAAATTGGGGAAATGGTGAAATTCTGGACTCTGTGGTTAGGGATTGGTCAGAATTTGGCAGTGATATCGTAGTCAAAGTGGTTGATGATTAGGAAAACAGGCTTGCTGTTAATGGTCAGTAATTGAATACAGCAGTTAAATGCTTACATCAGATAGGGGATTGGCTGGAGATGTTTATGATTTGGTTATATTTATTTCTTTACTTTTTGTGGAATGGACATGTTATAATTGGACACACAAATGTCCAGATTAAGCGTGTAATTTAAGGAAAGGTAAGTTAAGGTGAAAATTGGGCCATGAACTTGGTGGTTTTAGGGTCAGTGACTGGGAGGTAGACAGATTTGTAAACTGGGTCATTGGACTATACAGATGAACTCTTAACATCTGTAGATCAAACAATTCTTTATTGCTATTTATAAAATTTAGGTCGGCAATAAAAAAAATTTACTTATGGCAAGGAAAATTTGAAGAGACTTTTAATATCAATTGAACATTGGACTGGGTATTCTGACATATTTATAAATAAGTTTCCAGTTTCTTGGCAGACGCTCTTAAATTAGTCCAAGGTTCATGTCAGAATAGCGTTACCATAGTAAGTGATACTGTTACAGTTATGTTTACTATATGATATATAATACAATTTATAAAAAAATTACCTTTTACTTAATTACTGTTTCAGAAAAGATAACTGTGTATGACAGATAAATCTGTATTCCTTACATAGTTAATTCCCTTGAATAATGTTGATATTCTCCGATGGTTTCATCTCAGTTGTATGTTGTTCTTCATATTATTCTCTTTGTTCGTGTTCGGTTATGGACAGAAATGGAAGATAAGTATTAATTTAGTTGTGACTGACATTGGGTATGTCTTGTTTATGATCTTCAAGCACATATCTCAACTGACTTATCAACTTTAACACTGATCTTAAATTTCATCAATCTATATATTATAGATTTGCAATAAATTGGGCAGAAATAATGTGGTGCTTGGAATTTGTATGTTCAAATGCCTTGATATAGGGTAAATAATATCATTTTATAGAGATTGGTCCTGGCTAGTGAAAATAATTATGAAAAAATGTTTTATTTAGTATTTATCATCATCCAATTATAAAACTATTATTTTCATTTAGTATCATCCAATGTCAAACTGACTACATGTTTATACAGATATAAATTAGAAATGAAGTAGATAATAAAAATAAACATAATAAAGTAACTAAAGCATGTTAGAGATTATTGTGTTGACCATGTTAAACATTTATTGTTAAAACTGATGAATACATGTCCAGAAGTTTAGCCACAAGTACCTATTACTGAGGTCACTAGGTCAGACTGACCATATAGTTGACTAGACTGTAGGATAGTAATTTATTCTGTGATTTTAAAAAAATGGGGGGGGGGGGGATAGTCACATATTATGCAACTACACCTAAGTAACCTTTTCCAAGTTTGGCCTATATTATTTAATTTATTAGTTTTTTGCAAAAATGAATTAATATCAATTCTGAACTTTGAAAATTTACAAGATCAGGTCAATTCTGCAAAATTAGTTGTGAAAGGTTTAGCACGTATAAATATTCCCAATAAAGGAATAAAGGAATAACCCTGCATTAAGTTTGGAACTGTCAGTGATTTTAGTTTTTAGGTAGAATTTACATTGAATGGTATAGAGTCTGGTCAATCCCTGTATAAAGTCTGGTAAATCTTGGTCTAGAGTCTGGTCAGTTGTTGGTGTACTGAGTCTGGTCAATCTTGGTAAAATGAGTGTCAGTCTTGGTATAGAGTTTGTAATCTTAGTATAGAGTCTGGTCAATCTGGGTTTACGGAGTCTAGTCAGTCTCTGTATAGAGTCTGGTAAGTGCCTGTATAGAGTCTGGTCAATCTTTGTTTACTGAGCCTAGAGAGTCTGATCAATGTTTGTATAGAGTCTGGTCAATCTCTGTATAGAGTCTGGTCAATCGCTGTATAGAGTCTGGTCAATGTCTGTATAGAGTCTGGTCAATCTCTGTATAGAGTCTGGTCAATCGCTGTATAGAGTCTGGTCAATCTCTGTATAGAGTCTGGTCAATCGCTGTATAGAGTCTGGTCAATCTCTTGTATAGAGTCTGGTCAATCTCTGATATGTTAGAGTCTGGTCAATCTCTGTATAGAGTCTGGTCAATGTTTGTATATAGAGTCTGGTCAATGTTCGTATAGAGTCTGGTCAGTCTTGGTTTACTGAATCTAGTCAATCTCTGTATAGAGTCTGGTCAATCTCTGTATAGAGTCTGGTCAATGTTTGTATAGAGTCTGGTCAATAATTGTATAGAGTCTGGTCAATCTCTGAATATAGTCTAGTCAATCTCGGTTTACTGAGTCTAGTCAATCTCTGTATAAAGTCAGGTCAATGTTTGAATAGAGTGTATAGACCTTAAAGAGTCTGATCAATCTTGGTTTAGTGATTCTGGTAAATCTCAGTTTACTGAGTCTTATCAGACTCAGTATAGAGTCTGGTCAATCTCTGCAGTCCACATGTTAGCCTGAAAGAAAAACAGGTATTAGAAGCCTGTCTTAATAGCTGCTATTACATCAATGGTCATGTCATTGGTTAATCTCCTGTATTTTACAGCAGACTGTAAAATGCTTATACTTTAGGGATTTATATGTCCTGGAGGATTTATGGATGACCATTATTGAGTTTATACATAAATGATAAGGGAGTGCTGTAACTGCATTATGCAAGTACAATAAACCAGTGTTGTTATATTGTAGTTGGTTAGCTACAGATGTTTACTGTATCAGATAAAGCATGTATGTGTCTGCCTAATTTTCTGATGTCATTTGTCACCTATGCCAGACTTGTTTTGCATTACTGTGCAAATTTTGTGATAATTTATGTCATTGTCATAATAATGTCTCTGAAAGGAGACCATACTTTCAGTTCAGTGTAAATGTACTTGTTTTACTGTTACTAAGGAACCTAGTTTAGCTTGAAAGGTTGCTATTCTTATTTTGCTAATACCATAATTACATGTATGTTTCTCAAAAGTAGACCATACTACATTTATTTTGGTCTTTGACAGTGCTCTCTTTCAAAGTGGATCATGTAACAATAGTGCTAAAGAACAGAATTATTTTATTTTAAAGAACATTCATTAACTATAAAAATGATATACAGTAGATATGTATAGCCATGAACCCTAATTATGTAGACAATTTTCTAGCTTATAATGTAACCATTTATTCTTGTTTCACTGAAATGTGAACATAGATTATACAAGTAGTATGAAACTGAAAATATTGACTGATCAGAGGTCCAACATACTCCAAGATCGATAATGTAATAAAAAAAAATGCTTGACCACCATTGTGGTATTTCTTAATTATAAATGAAATTTCAGTCAATACTTGCTTAACATTGGTTAATCTAAGACATTCTGTTTTTTGCTGACTGTGTTAAATTAACATTATATACATATTAACAAAAGGTAGACAGACAGAAGGGCAGGCAGTATGGTGACCACTTGCCTTCCTTTGAAGCATAGAGCGGTTTTATTTTACAAAATGTTATGTGAAAGTTTTGTCAATACTTATCTTAAGAGCTAGATCCTAGATGATGGTTTCTTTGCGGACAACAGGGGAACGATATGACATAATGTTTAGTTTACATTGTATAAATGTTGACACTAGGGAAGTCTGTTTGCATCCTTGATTACAATCACTTACATTTGTAGTCCTTAATGTGACATTAAGATATGTTTTCTTGTGGCATGTGCCATAGAAATAGTTACAACTTCCTGTTATTTAGCCCGATTTGCCAACACTGTCAAAAAAAGGCCTTTCTGTAATGTTTGTAAACAGATGAACATTGCAAATGAATATCATTTGTATTCAGAAATCAGCTGACAGAATTTCCTGGATTATGATGCTATGTTGCAATTTCATTTTACAATTTTGAGTACAATATTTTCTAAGTATTGTAGGAAAATGTATGGAATAACCCATAACAAGCTAAATATCTTTAATGGACTTTTCTATCCGTCAAACTGGAATGTTTGGGATTAGTGAATAGTACAGGCCAGGATCATGCAGAACAGATGTGCCGGCTGATCTTGGCCTCTACTGGTGACAAGGGCATAATATATTCCTGACTTTTGGCTAAGTTGAAGGTAAAGTGGCACAGAGCTACGTAACCCGATCAGATATGCTTTGACAAGAACCAATCACAGTAAGAAAAAGAAGATGAAAGACATTCTAACAGTTGTCATATTGTAAACTAGATTAAACCATCAGTAGAAAATAGGTCTTTTTGTTGTTTTGAGGTAATTTCAATTAGGATCAATAAATATAGTCTCAGTTACTGTTGGGTTCTTCTCATGGCTTGATTAATTAAACTTGATCCTGCTGAATTTGTGTAATTATCTTGCCCTGCTTTGAATTTTGAACTGTCTGTTATTGTGTGGGATTTCAGTGTCGAAAATGTTGAAATCCCACACTTTCCAGCAAAGTGTCTGATCAGATTGCAGGGAGAGGATCAAGATGAGCATTTTATTTATTTATCTTTTTTTTAACAAAATGATCCTCTTTGAATTTTTCAGTGAAGAGTCATGAAGGTTGGCTGCTACACAAGCTTAAGCAAAGAAGTTCATCCAATAATGTAATGAAAAGGTAAGATAAATGATAAAAAAAATTGTAAGTGTTAAACGGTTTGGAAATATTTTTCTTATACTAGCATACATGTAATGTATGTCAAGGACAGTTAATAGGAACAGGAAGCTGGTAATTAATGAGCTTGTGGGAGGTCAATGGTACCGTCTGCTAACCCAGTGCCCGACTTGTATGATGTTCACTTTTTACACTCATCCAGTAAATTTTGATATGAATTCCAAAAGCATAAAAACAGAATTTTTTTGAATTCTTACATACATTAAGTAGGGCACCTAAAATGGAAATATATGCAAAAGATAATAAAAAATTTATACTAAGGATAATACTCAAAATTGAATTGAAAGTCGATTTTATGTGTGATTCTTAGCCAGATTTTTGAAAAAGTGTTAAATGTTTTTTGCCTCTCACTACTGTAGGTTAAAGCTCCACAAGTGTTGTCGGATTCTGTATGTGAGAAAGCTATCCAGCTAGTTTACAGAACATTGATGGTTTTACTCAGGTGCCTGTTTGTGCTTGAAATAGTATACAGAGGGGCGCCTGAAGACTACCTCAAACAGTAAATCTGGAAAGTCGCCATATGACCTATACAGCGTTGGTGTGATGTAAAACCCGACCAAAATAAAAATTGTTTTCATTTTTGGGTCAATTTGTATGTTACAAAAGGTTATGCTGGGAGAAAAAAAACCCCACAAAACCAGCAAATGAGCTGAAATTTTGTACATAAGTTATCGGTCCAGACCTACATTAAATGGTATATAAATCAAAATGTATTTCTAGTCGTGTCTAAAAACCTGAGTTTTTAGGGGTATTTGTGTAACTTAAACCCTTAATAATGTTTACTTGTGCAACAAGTATGAAAGGCCAGCCAGGTCTGTAAAACCAGGCTGTATATTGTTGGCTGCCTGGTGTTCTTTCCTGAGCAAACTTGATGGCCAGTTGTCAAATCAGTTGCTTCCATCAGCTGGTACTAGGGTATATCTGCGACAAAATGCTGAAAGAGTTGATGTGCTTTCATGTAGGCGACTAACACACTGTTGCTACATTCATGTGATACATAACATTTCTGCCTACAGTAACAGACAATATTGATGAATCAGCATTTCTTTAAATAGTGCCAAAGCAAAAATAACTGTTCTCTAATTTAATATCTAATAAAACAATTTCCTTAATTATGTATTGTAAGAGAATATTACTAGATATTAAACTGTGTATCAAATTTATGATATTCAACTTACAGTATTTCTTTTATTAGCACTTTTTCAAGTAATTTGTTAAAACTTTTCTTATATAATATATACTTTTTTTCCCAGTTTGTCATATGATGAATATTGGTAGCCATTGAAAGATGTGATTATATCAAGATATTGATGGTATCCATTGAATGATGTGTGCAGATAAAATCATTTGGATTTTGAGGTATGTTTTTCAATGTGAATTTAACACTTTAGTGTAAAGGGAGACAAATTATGAACCAATGCTACCAGCATGGAGTCTGGATAAACTTTTTCAAGTTTAACAAAAGATTATAGGTTTACAAAAATAATTATGTACCTAGTTGGGTATTTAGATCTTCAATACCTTCAATTAACTTTGTATATTACTAAACAGGAATTTGTTGATAAGAAAAAACAACAACAACAAAAAAACCCACCTTTTTGCACACTAGGTATCATAGCAACAAGCACATGCCACCGGTATAGAGCTAGGCTTAGAGTATAAGACATAAAAAACATCCCTGACAATGGACTGTTCCAATTTTAAAATCAAGCAGAACCATTACATAATTTTAGCAGTGTTTGCATTACTTTTGGGAAAACTGAGAACAAGGAAATACTCAGAACCGGTAACTTAAAAAAACTTGTTTCACCATATTACAAAACTAATAATCTGACCCATAATGCATTGTCGGAGCTATATATTATGCTATATAAGGTCAGGTTTCGCCTTTGTTAAGAGTTACTTAAAATGTACAGGCAAAATTAATAAGTGGTGATAGTGAACAATTTACATGCATGCATTGCAGGATAAATTAAATTGATTTTCATTCATGCAAGTATTTGTTTACTCAATACTCACTGATGAAATGTTATTAATAAACAGTTCTGTCATGGGAATTATTCTTCCCAACATGACTAAGCAACTTTGTAAAGGTAACACCACCAGTACAAAGAGTGAAGATTTATCAATAAAAGATTTGTTGCAGAAGATTATGCACACTCATCATGTAGAAGCAGTGCTTTGTACAATACCTCTAATTATTCCTCAAAACTTTTCAATAAAAATAGATCATGAAATATGGAAAATCATTGCTTTTAAGTTGAATGTTTTTATAAAGCTGATGTTTCAAGTTATGTGTCCAATAATAATTGATACACAAGGGTGTCTTACTGCAGGAATTGGTACACTATTGCAACTTTTTCAGAGTTCCAGTTTACAGCAGGCATCCCTTTTCCAATGAATGAGATAATTTTAATAATTTGTCATAGACTGTCACTCATAATAGAAGTTAGGCAAGTCAATTGCAGAAATTCAGGTGCTAATGGGTTTCATCATGAAACAATTTCACATTCAGACAGGTCAAGTTTAGTATTTACTGCCAACAACAAAAGAAAAGGGTCTACCATGAAAATCATCTTGTGATTGTTGTTTTGCTTTTGAAGAAGGCAGCAAGGCCGAAAGCTACGGCAAATTTAAATTAGCGTTTTTGCTTATATATGTATATATATATATACATGCATAAATTATGTATATTTATATTTTAATATGCATCATCATTGATAACAAAACAATGATTTATATATATTATACATGTATATAAAAATACAAAGTGGACCATTTTACATAGAGGAGTTGAAGCAGGCATTGACATTTTAAATTAAAGTTGAAGGTGTCTTGTTCAAATATTTAACAGTCTCGTGTTTAACAATGGTTTTATTGGTACCTTAATGACTGTGCTATCTTGTACCTATGTTTTATATTAGACAAGTTTCAACATTTAATGGACAAGTTCAAACCTGATTTTTTTACAATTTACAACTATGTTATTCACACACATATTTCTAAAAGAATGAAGAGTTAAGAAGTTCATGTGCGATATATATTTAATTGAAACAAAGTCAGTAAATAATAAAGGCTGTAGTAGACTATTTCCTTCAAGATAAATTTGCATATTTTAACCTGAAACCACCTTTTCTAATGAAAGTAGATAAGATTTGTAATATGAAATACAAAAAAAAAAATCAATGACAAATTAAAAGAGGTTTAATGAAAAATTGTTTTTGAATTGCAAAGTAAAACCTGACTTGTTATTAGGACCATAGGAATAAGGTGTCTTTTAATATCTATAGGATAGATATCTTTTGTCCAATTGATAGAAAAAGGGTGAATGAACATTGAAACTCAAAAGAATGTTTAAAAATTCTGGGATCCCCAGCAAGTTAAGATTATTGGTAGAATTCTAACATGTTGAATAGTGGAGATATTAGGTTACAATTGAACTTAATATTTCATAGATATGGCCTCTCATTCTTTATACTATTGTATGCCTCTGGTCTCCTGATGCATGTCAGTAAACTATGAATTATTGATGTTTCATGTAATACTTTGCATTTTCATATTAGAAACTGCTCTTTTCAATAATTCAGTATTATAATACATGATGTACAGGGGAAGAAAAAAAGACAACATGAATTTTCATTCGTAACTATTGTTCTTCCATTATTCAAACGATGGCTGTACACTCTAATGTTAGTGTTGTTTTATAGAAGTAAAAATTCTAGGAAATGAAAAACAAAAGTAATTTGTCGGACACTCGGAGGTTTTATTCCATAACCTGCAGAATTTCTGTATGAACTTGTTCGGCTTTCATTTTTGGAACTGTCCATTATCAATTTTGGGAAATATCGAGATGAAAAGTTGAAGTGGGTCAACAAACAGTATAGAGCCTGGTCAGACTTCATGTTTGTGCAGGCTGGCCTGGCTCTACACTGGTGGTAAGAGAACTAATCACTACTGTGGTTCCAGCAGGTTAAGGGTTTAAAATTTCTTTGTATGAAATTTTTTTTTTTCGTTAAATAAACAAACATGTTGGGCTAGTGTTAATGATGAAGGAGGTCACTTAGAAAACTTCATACTGATTCACAAGGACAGTGTCATTGAGTAAGTACTTTTCTAAACATACTTGGGTAAAATTTACGGTCAAGAAGCGTTTATAAACACATTTTTGTAAAGTTTTCAAAACTTTGTTGTATATTTTTCTTAGAATTTTTATCTTGATATCAACAAAATTAATAAAGGACATTTTCAGAAATGGTAGCTGGACAAAGTTCAGATTCTTAAGAGCTAAGATGTTCTCTCAAATTTTGCTGTAGCATTATACATGTGTGGAAGTTGCTGATAATAACTATATACATGTCGCTTGAGATAACCACTTAAAATTTGACCTTTAAGTGTAGTAATTTTGTTATACAACTCTATAGGGACATGTTATGCATTCTACATTCTAATGATATAAATATTTGATGTACTGAAATGCAGTTCTTGCATCAACAGCAAAGTAAGTTGATGAAAGGATGCTATAAATATTGTATTTATAATTTTATTCTCTGTCTGCTTGTGATGGGGTACATCTTCGAGAACTACTTTCCAGTTTCATGAATGAGGGAATTATTTTTTGTTTTAAGCCATTACACTTTCTACAGGAGAGACTCCTAGAGCTTTTGATATTGTTTATAACTTTATTTATAACTTTTGAATACATGAAATAACTTATATAACAGTAAAAAATTAAATGTTAGTTATTAATCAGACTCTATATATCCAATCAAAGGTAAGAAAAACTAGTAACAAAACTGTGCTTCATCACTTGTCAGTTATGATGAAGTTAAATAATTTTTATCTTGTATAAGAGCTTAAATTGCATGGAATCCTTCACAATGTCTTGGATTTTGAGATGTGCAAAGAAATCTCTTTTTGACAACCTAGGATAGAGAAGGGTTTTGAATCGTGTCAATTTGTCAGTTTATGTGACTAAATTTGAAACAATTGTCATCTGACAAGTTGAATAACACATATAAATGGACAATTTCTGAAGAATTTTCCTCTCTTAGGTATTCATAATTTTAGTAGTGAAAATTTAATGTATTTAAGGAAATTTTTGAAGAAAGTCTGTTCAAACTACTGAGCATATTATTTTTGACCTTTCTGTAATCATTATGGACTGTTTCAAATAGGCAGTTACTAACATTCCTTTTAGTCAGTCAATATTTATGAAACTGTATGTCAGGAAAAACATTGGGTTTACATAACAGCAGTTTCCAAAGTTGGAATCTTTGAAATGTCAACCTATCTCCATAGCAACCTATGGAATGTTGATTTTAGCCAATACGTTTCCAAGCATCCTGGTCCTTTTATTTGAACACCAATACTGGTTAGTTTAGGGAACCAAAACTCTATAAAGTACAAAAATTGAGCTATGAACAGTGTAAAACTAAGTCAGACACCATGGCAAAACAGGTTAGCCTGGCTCTTTTAGTCTAACAACTTAAGGTCCCAGCATTCAGGTTTTATTATAACTAGTATAAAGATGCATATCTGCTGCTGATAAATCATTTAAGTTTTGTTTTTTTTACTGTTTGAATTTCAAAAAATACCTGTACAAAGAAATTTATATGTTATGTTCGTATATTTCCTTAAAAGCAAATGGCACATTCAGGAAATCATTGCGAAATGGTGAAAACGCTACTTAAAATAGCAGCGTATATTTAGTTCTGGAACATTGTTTTCTGCGTTAGCAAAATAATGATCCTTTGAGTTAAATGACATGAACATTGTAATGTTACAATTCTCAAAAATCAACCATAAGATAATTACAACAATATATTTTTACCATTTATAAATTTGTATTAAAATAGTTCATTAGATATTTTTATTAGTAATATAATATTATGTCTGTTTCATTTTCAAAGAAGTTGTGTCTTTTATTATATACATGAAATATTGATGAAATAAAATGCTTATTTTCATTTTCAATATTTTCACTTTAAAAAAATTATTTATTACTGCATAGGGGTGAAACATTTTTCACAAAATTTAAGGAGAAGTCAAAAAGAGAAAAATATATGTAATAAACAGAAATTTCAAGTTTTTTTCTATAAATATAGGATTTATTTTCATCCTGTGGATGAAAATTATCATATTTCACTCATGGGTACCGCCACTGAGGAAATATTTATTTTCATACCACTGGATGAAAATATGTCCTGTACATGTATTTATAGAAAGATCTTGAATATCCTCTTTGCAGTACATAAAATGGAAGCTTCTAGTTTGCTTAGGATATAATTCAAGAATTTTTTGCAAGAATTCATAATAGAAACTGTAACATAAACAGCCTCGTAGTTTGCAAATTTCATAAA